GATTATAAGGCAATTAACTCGATTAAGATATCCGAATGTAAAATAGAAACGATAGTTACAATACAGTTTATTATCCATTTCTATGTAAGCTTTTATCAGACCAGATTAAAGGATACCAGGGATAATTACACGCGGAAATAAGCATCCTGTATAGCTTCGTATATTGGAAATTAAAGATCATACGATACAGATTGTAATTTTAGAATTTATGGTATACTATTTAGTACGTTTACTGCCTACTATTAATTAGATGTGATGAAGGTATTAGCTAATTTATAACAATAACTTTAAACAGTATATTTTTATACTAGAATAACCGACTTTAAATAACATCGTCAAACAAAATGCACTAAAAAGTAACAAAATAAAGTCATGATAACTCTTGAAAGTTACAAAATTCTTTTCTTTCTTGTAATATGTCTTTATTGTACAATTATTTCGGAATCGGTGACGGTCGAGGAAGATTTCTCTAATCTACCTCGGCAGACACCATTTTATATCTGATATGTCTTAAACCTAGTTACGTTTTCAGTTCCTGTCTAGGCTTTCGAATAAAACAAGAATTATGAAAATCAGACAACTAGCGGAGTTATCGACAAAAAAAACATACAGACGAATTAAGAACCTTCTCCTTTTTGAAGTCGGTTAAAAAAGCGTGAAGGTCTTTTAAGCTTTCTAAGTTAAAAAATTATGATTATAAAAATTTCATTACATCTCTTCCGTGACAAGGATAGTTCGGCAAAGGTTCAGATTATGTCCAGGACAATCCTTATCAATTAAAATATTTATCGATTTAATTCTTTATAATCTAACATATTAATAGTTCCTGTCTTACCAAGAGTTTAAAAGCGTCAGAGTTTGCACGCGATGTATTTCACTTCCTTACATTATTCAACTAATGCACACTTATACTTACGTAAAAATAGCTTTCAAAATATCGTGCACTAACGATCTGCCAGGCTCGGCAAGGTACGTCTTAGCTTCACAAATGCTTCTCAGGATGCAAGCACGGCCGTTCAGATTATGACTGAAAATGATATAAAAAAACTTTTACTCATTTCATACTTTAAAATTGATTAAAATTTATGTTTTAAAAACTTATATCATCATCATTATCCTTTGTCAATCCTATCCTGGATATAGACCTTCCTAATGGCTTCTACATAATGCGATCCTCTGTCTTCCGCGTGCAGGGACTTCACACCGTTCGCGCTAAGTCAACAGTCCACATAGGGAGAGTGCTCCATGCTTCTGTTCCCCTTCAGTGGTCTCAATTCCGAGACTCTCCCACATGTCGTAGCTGACCCGACAGATGTAACCATTGTGATTTGGCTAAGTCATATACAAGATTGCAACTTATAAAATTCGAAAGAAATTAAAGAAATTCTTTTAAATATTTTAAATAAACAAATCCTTTATTTTAAGTCTAGAGGTTATAAATGGTTACTTATTTCGTTACTCGCTACCGTAGCAATATTTCCTTTTAAATTATTTGATAGCGTGCAACGTTCTTGAAATGTTTTCACAGCTAGTAAATATGCTCTTTAAATTGCAAACAACAATTTACTAGGTAGAGTATTATATAACCTATGTTTGCTTTAAATACTTACATTCTTAGTTGTAAACTTTATCTGAGCTTGTAGGAAAAAGAAACATGTGCAACGAAATAACAGATTTCTCGTATTATACTTAAAGATTTCTGTTATGCCCGTATCTATTGACTAGTTACAGTTTCGCCGAAACAGCGAAGCAATAATTCAGGTCACCGCTCGCTCGTTTGCCACTTTATGATGTAATAAAAACTAAAATGAGTAGACCTTAACAATATCTTTTACCCTATGAGGAACTGTTAAATAACTAATATAGAGCCATACGTTTTTTTAATAACGAAAAAGATGACATTGTTTCTGTATAGATGTGTGAACAGAGAAAAGACACGTTAAACTCAAAAAAAATACTTGATACTTACAATTCCAAAGCCGAACGTACTCTCTCCCAGAATTCCCTTTTCTGTCTATGATGTAATTTTCTTCTATAATGTGCATTAGTAAAATTGGCATCAGGTAGGGGATATAAGACATCGATTTCTAAGACCAAATTCCATCCTGACGGAGCGTGTGTCATAAATGCTTTTACAACAGATATTGTAAGCTAGAAATAAATGAAAACATTAACTTGGCAGAAAACACTTCCTCTTTCTAGTTTTTTCTTATAAAAATTATGAGAAGTAGAATCAGATTTGGTACAAAAGAGGACGTATAGAAAGGATATCTTTCTGTATGAATCCATTTTCGTGTATTAAAGGTAAATCTAATTTGCAGATGTCTATGGCTAAGCTATAAAATAGCTGTCGCGCCGACTTCATCCGTACGGAATTTAAAAAAAACTTAATAAGTAGCGATGTGTTCTTCCAGGCTACATTCTACATCAACGCCAAATTTCAGCGAAATACATGCAGTCGTTCTAAAGATACCTTCTAACAAACATCCATCCACCCATCCAAACATTCACATTTATTACTTTAATTAGATTGGGTAGCCGATTGCTAGTTTTACACCTTCTAATATGGAGCGTCGGCTCAGTGGTCAAGCACTTGACTTGCAATCTGCAGGTCCTGGGTTCGAATCCCGCCATGTACCAATGTGTTTTTAGATTTCCGATTTACATTTATCCGACGTTCTTACGGTGAAGGAAAACATCGTGATGCACATATCTGAGAAGAAATTCAAAGATATGTGTGAAGTCAACCAACCCGCACTTGGCCAGCGTGGTTGACTATGGCCTAATCACCCTCAACTTAGGGTAGGCTCCGAGCCCCTCGGTGGGGACGTATAGTGAGCTGATGATGATGATGAATATAAAGAAACAGCAGTACTTATCTAGGTATTTTCTATCTTAAATATAACAAATACTTACAACTACATCACTCCCATCAGGGAATGTCAAATGCCTTCGTTTTCTTATCGAACCTAAGTGAGTTTTAATATTAGGGCACTGATCTGTATTATTCACTTCACAATCTATTACAACTATTAAGAAAACTAATATTAATAATTGGTAAAACATTTTTATCTACAAGTTCACACGTCCACGATCTTGTAAAACATGGATGTAACTCAATTTTTGTCGCGTCTCACCCGCTGTACGTAAACTTGTAAATTACACGAGTATGCAACATGAATCTTGTTATTTACAAGTTGTTACTTAATGTATTTTAAGATTGACTCGTTTTAAATATATGAAAAAAAAATACTAGTCACAATTGTAAATTTTAGTTTTATTAAATGATAGATCTATCGAGTGTTTGAGTGCTTTATTAGATTTTAAATTTATCAATAAATAATTTTAACTCTGATAGAATCTTTTAAAGGACGAAACTGCAAATGTTCATGTAATTTTCTATATTAAAAATCTCTAATATTCTTAAGTCTAGTTGTGTTGATAAGTTGGTTGAAGTATTTTAAATTGGTTAACTTGAATCAAAAATATATATACCACAAACATATATTTACATAGTGATAATATAATATTATATATAAATTTGATTAACTTATATCTTGTTAATGACTCGCTAATTAATATTAGTTTCAATATTCCGAAAAAATCAACGACAAATAAAATCTAAATTATATTTTGTTTCATTTCATAAGTGGAAAACAATTTTCTCTAATATGAACTTTAATAAATACAATTTTACAATTATATATATAAAATTCTCGTGTCAATTGTTTGTTACTATACTCCTCGGAAACGGCTTGATCGATTTTATGACATTTTATATGCATATTCAGTAGGTCTGAGAATTTCCTACTATCTTTAATCGCGCGCAGATAGAGTCGTGGGCGACAGCTAGTATCAAAATAAATTTTATTTAAGAAAAAAAATGTTACAAAGAAAATAACATTTCTAAATAACGATCAAATATTCAAAGTCTGATTAAAATTGTCATCAAATTACACATCTGGATGGGAAATTCATGTTCATACAAAAAAAGATTAAAAAAAAACATTCCAAAATAAACTTTACGATGTACATTTTAAAGACGAGTAGATTGCTAAAGAAATTCCACGGAGGTGTGAAACGTGACAGTTAATGAGAGGAGGCGACAGCCGCTCTAATACTTTGATCAAACATCCCGGGTCAATGAACAACACTGACTGTACCACACGTCAGGCATTATGTGGACTGTATTTTATATTTTTTAAAACGTACATTCTGTTCTTTGTTATTTTATAAATGCAACGAAATGATCCACGGACGATAAATACATAGATATACGTATCCTATTCATCTAATATTACAAACACTGTTTGGATGTATGGATGGATGGATGTTTGTTAGATGGAACGGATGCTCTCGATGAAATTTGGGCTAGATATAGAACATCATCATCATCATCAGCTCACTACACGTGCCCACCGAGGGGCTCGGAGCCTACCCAAAGTTATGGGTAATCAGGCCATATTCAACAACTACGGCCCAGTTGACTTCACACATGTCTTCTCAGATATGTGCAGGTTGCATCACGATGTTTTCCTTCACCGTCCGTTTGATATAGAACATAGTCTGAAAGAACACATAGGCTACTAATTAAAGTTTATTTAAAGCCAGGAAGACGACAGCTAATACTGTATTAAAATTACGACTTCGAAAATGAGAAAGTTCTGAATTCGTCTGTATATTTTAAAACTTATTGTAAGCAATACACTATAGTCATGCCTTAAATATACTAAATATTCTGAAGTTCGTGAAAATTCGTGTTTAAACACATCAGCACTACCGCTACTAGAAAATTTTATCTTTATAAAATACCTAAAAATATTGATTATTTCAACTATTGCATAAAATGAAAAAAAAAATATCTTTTGCTTATAAATAGAATCCATTATCTACCTGGAAACCTTATCCAACTTTTAAAAGTGCCCTGTAATTTGCTTCTGAAACATTTTTCCTTACCGTACCTGCTTTGATGCAAATCAGTAATTAAATTCTGTTCAGCATTATTTAACTGCTGGAATAACAATGAAATTTTTCTTGCAAATTGCTGGCGAATTTTACTCTTGCAGTTCGAAGTTTTCAGAAAAACAAACGCAAGCAAATTTATTTTATTTCTTACATAAACTTTATTTATTGCATCAAAAGTAAGTTTAATAATCTGGAACTAAAACAAAATTAGCAATATTTTGATTTACATAAATAAACATTTTTTTATATCATAAGGTGGCAAACGAGCGAGCGGCCACCTGAAATCGCTGAAATAGCGAAGTGACCGTTGGCCATAGACATACGCAATTGCATATTCGTTGCCTACCTATAATCGACGGAGGAGAGGATGCACAGAAAGAAAATATTTTCCCTTTCCATACATCCTCTCATCCGGAAAGTCCACTTCCATTTCCCATCCTTTCCTTATAAAAAAAGGGTGGGAAGGGAAAGAGGGCTACATTAGGCCTCCGGCACGCACACCCATCAGACGCAACGCGGAATTGCTTCCACTTCACGCCTGTCTTATGTGTGACATTTAATGTATCATTTCGATGTAAAAAATCTCAAATTTATAATCATAAAAATAAATGTTTTATTCCTTAAAATTCGTTTAATTTTTTAGAAGTCAAAGCCATTGTCTTTTACATTTTCATAGAGATTACATTGCTTATTATTTATTATACAATTTATCACACTTTGAATATTTTTCTGTACAGTTTTCATTACTGAAATGCGCTTCGTCATATTCGTTATGATACTCCGTGTCGAACTTTTGACCTTGGGGTAACCTGTAATCAAACATACCGATATTACTATGACTTTGAACTGACAATACGCCCCTACATAAAAGTATACTTATTTTTTTAAATATTACAAAGGATGACATATCTTTGGACTGACGTAGCAGTATAACAGTTATACCATAGTTGGCGCTCGCGACTCCGTCTGCACAGAATTAAAATTCATAATACATGTGGCTTTAAAAATTCTGTACTGAAAAAGTCACAGGCGGCCGCCAGTCTTAAATAAAATTGTACGTTTTTTACAATTACATACAATAATAATAAAAACTAAAACCAAATACAGAAAACTGAAATTACATTTTTTACGACAGAGACGTTTCGAATATTACTGACCCAATACAATATCTACATGTTAATATCGATCTAATTTCCTAAACTATAAGGTTTGAAATTGCTAATTCGATACAAATAAAAATAGAACGAACAATATGAAAACACTACTAGTAAAAACACTCACGTAAGAGTAGCCCTCATGATTTCTTCTAGAAACGTGCCTTGTTCATTTTTACCTCGGCCTGTCTCGCAAAGCATGCGTAGTACACATTCCCGACCGCGCCAACCTAATCTATAAATTGAACAATAGACTTTATCTTAATAAGGACAATAGAAGTTAATAGATACTGAACTCCTTTCTTTTTTCCATTTGATTTTTTTTAAAGTACGTTTTATCAATTCAAAAATGAATTATATTTCAGCGACACTTATAAGGGCTATTTTAATAGGTCACATTTAACTTTGTAACGGCGGGCATAAAATATTTATTAATTTTTGAATTTAGAACAACAAAATTGCTTATCTTTTTTCAAATTTCGATTACATATTTATTATAACCAAGTCAATCGAACGACGTTACAAAATTGCGTCAGTCAACTGAGACGAAGTTGACTGTTTTTCTTTTTAAGCACTAAGAATGAGACAAAAAATCGAACGAAAAAGATGAATATTTCAAAATCCGAATCAATTGGACCCTTCACTATGAAGCTAAAACTGAATATCAAATGTGACCTATTAAAGTGGTCCTGCTGTACTTAAAAGCATTTAAAAAAAAGCATATTACCCTTCTAGAAATTTTTCTAATTTTTCATATAAACTTTTTCGACCCTCTCGATGAAATGTAATGCTGTCTTCATCTAATTTCTTCAACACATCATTTTCCTTTTGAGAATCGTGTAATGCTTTGATTACGATTGAAAAGTTTTTTCCATTATAAGCTTCTTCAATACTGCGTTTCGCGAATGCGGGATTTACGATTAATCGCCTGTAACAAAATAAAACTTAAACAATTGTCGATTCATGAAAAAGTTTACTTTAAAAAAGTAATCATACTAATTATAAATACAAAAGTTTGGATGGATGGATTACAAAGCATCTCCGGAACGGTTCAACGGATCTTGATGAAATTTGGCACAGATGTAGAATATAGTCTGGTTGAACAGAGAAGTTTTTATTTTAATTCTACGCAAATGGAGTCGTGGATGACAACTAAGTATGATTATAAAAATGACGAAGCGGAGATTTAGCCTAAAACAAAAAGACTGAAACGATGATGATGGAGCTAGAGATAATAAATTATTCTAGAATGTTCATTTCAAATAAACTGAACCTAATACGTAGTCAATCTTCAACAAAAAATCACTTAATTTATTCAAACTTTCGTGAGACATTATAATAAACTGATATAAAAACGGCTAAACACTCACGTATATTCGTTTTTATATCAGTTTAATGACTTACTTCTTGTAAGGCATTTTCGTAAGTACTTTTCCAGCTTCATCCAAATAGTAAATAGTTTTAGATGCGTCATTTCTTCTGTGAGATTCGTAGAGTTTTTCATGATCTTTAAAGAAATAGAATAATTTGGGATCTGTTGGTAACTGCCAGGCTAACGCTGCGGTATTCCCGAACCATACTATGTCGCCCACTTGAAGGTAACCTTGATTTTGTGCGCAGAATACTAGAAGAAAAGGCTTATTTATAAATAAATAAAATAATTCTTACTTCTTACTTCTTCTACTTATCTTACCAATATTTTAATTCTCACTATGTTACTTCTTACGTCTTACTAATATTATAAATGCTACTGTTTAGATGAATGGATCTTGATGAAATTTGATATACATATAGATAAGAAGAAGAACATATATATCTGATTATGTTTCTTTTCCGCGCGGACGGAGTCGCGGGCGACCGCTAGTATCATGGCAAATTGAATATTCGCTGAAGCAATATGTTTAAATTTTAATCTGTTAATCCACAAACTTGGCAAAGATATCTACAAAGTTACAATTCATTGCTTATTGTAATTTGAGACTATAAAGGACATAACTTTTAATAGTCCAAAGTGATTTTGTTTTCAGATATCGTATTGGATTTTATGACTCAATAAATACAGATGTTTAACTTATAATATACTGGCTTTTAAATTTAACAAGTAAATGAAATAAAAATTAATTAAAAGAATATAAAAAATAATTTTTGTTATTTACCATGAGATTAGAAATAGAATGTAACACAGCGATGGAAATTGGAACGTCACTTGATTTGATAGGACTTTCGCTCAAGTTTTCAATCAGAAGAAATTTAAATTATTTTCTTGAATATAAATGAAATTATTTTATAATAATGGTTGTACCTACCCAACTGAAAAGAGCTTCCATCTGGAAATACAATGAATCTTTTTCTGCGTGAAAGGACTTTTGATGCGTCGACGTCTCCATCTTTATTTTCTTGATAAGCGACTGAAATCACTCCTAATAGCAATAGAAAAATTAATTTTATTACTCCCAGTTCCATTATTTTCAAATACCTTTTTGAATTGTATTTGGTAATCACAAAAACAATCAAGGAGAAAGGCGATAAAACGATGTGTTTAGGTGTCGAATTTTACAAAACCACAAGGACACCTAAATAAAAGCGATCGCATCGGCGACTTATTTACTTTATTGAACAAAGACAACAGCCGAGCTTCGCCAAACAACAACTGCTACACTCTTTGGCACGTCGACGTTTATCAAATTTAGAGAACAATACAAATAGGTAGCAAGTTTGTTTACTTTCAATTAAGGTCTTCAAAGTACAGTTGTAACGAAAAGTGTTACAGTTATAAGAAATATTTGTCACGTTAATCTTTTGTAGGCTTATAACCTAATTAAATTGATCAAAATTTAAATTTCGAATTTTATAAAACGATTTAAGCAATTTTGGAAACAGATGCGTACTTTACTATTCCAAAAGTCAATAAAAACAAAAAAATGTGTTATAAAAAGGTTTGTAAAAGGTGAGAGTCAAGATGGTGGGAAGTATCCTGTTTATTTTGATTTACCCTGTAAAATATAAGATTTTTTTTAACTTTTTTTCGTGCTCAACTAATTACAATTTATTTTGTGAACCAAACCAAAAACGCAGTTCCATCCTGATCTTTTAACGTTCTTTTTGCTTGAGAGATTCTAAGGTATCTTGGGAACAAATAGACGATTGATTCTACCGACTTCCTAAAGCAACAAAGTCTGGATATTTGAGGTTAAATAGAAGTAGATTCCAAATAATTCTTCAGCCCAATTCCCATGACATAAACAGTTAAAGATGCAAAAATAGTTCCAGTAAGCGTACTTTAAAAAAAGTGTCTTTGAAGTCAATGTATTCAACTAACAACTAATGTAACTATATTGAGTTATATTACCTTAATTCCTACTTACGTCAATAAAGAATAAAGTCACTAATTTTAAATATACACTTATTAGTAGTATAATAATAGAATTAGTTGATGCCACAGACAAACTAGCACATAGACTCGTCAAACTTAAATAAATAAAGGACTACTAATATTAAAGGAATAGAGCTCCCAACATTAATTACTGTATTGAGTTAAATTTTAACTATTTTAGGATTATTTTTTACGTTTTTTTTTTTAAATTACAGCCACTATATCATCATTTTAAAATATTATGTAAGTTCTTAGACATTTTTAATGATTACATTTTTCTATAGATTTAAATAAATTCGCCAACTCTTATATTTTGTTACCGACTATACCAGAAACTTCTAAACAGATCTTAATAGCGTTGCAAAAACTGTATATACAAAAAAAATGTGCCATCAAACAGTAAATATTTTCCTACAAAACTATATTATTCATGTCAAAGTATTTTTTTTATTAATATAATTAATCTATATACAGAAAAATCAATTGCTGTTCGTTATTCTCGCAAAAGTCGAGAATGGCTAAACGGATTTATCTTATCTTGGTGTTGAAATGTTCGTGGAGGTCTAGGAAAAGTTAAAAAGGTGAGAAAAATTCCAATAATTGCCGTGAATTAAGTTTTTTTTCCTACGACGCGGACGGAGTCGCAAGCGACAGGTAGTAGGATCATTAATATGAAGAGATTTATGAAATTACCGCATAAACGAAAGTAATAAATTTAATAGTTTATTAGTTTGCAAATTATTATTTGCAGTAAAAGTAAATTGGAATAATTAAAAATTGAGAAATATTAAAACAAAACTTTATTTGCAAAGTCAATGATCACCAAAAACGTGTATGCTCTAGAAATTTTCACATCCCGGGTACAGTGTCGGACAGTCGTCTGTTTTCGCATGAGCTTTGTCGTATTCTTTGTGTTGTTCGTAATCAAATTCAGTTCCTTTAGGTAGCCTGAAAGAACATTTACGACACTTAAAATGTTATACGAATTAATAAAAAATAAATCTTAATAATAATATAAAAAAAATATGTTGTCTTTTTGCAAACTAAAAAATAACAAAGTCAATAATGCCATAATTGGTATGAGATTTTTGGTTTACTTTACGCCCGATAGAGGCGCTGTACATACTTTAATACACATTTTGTCGATGACGATACGATGGCGATTGTCACAAATATTGGTGCTAGAACAATAAACGATGAATAGTATCTAACTAAATATACACTAAGGGCTACCTTAGTAATGATACCTTTCTCTGAATACGGTAGTAAGTACTAAAAAACAAAACACACTTACGTAAACAATACCCTAAACAGTTCTTGAAGGAATGACCCTTGCCGTGAATTTTGCGCTGACTCACAAAGCTTATAGAGAACACATTGTTTACCATTCCGACCCAAACTGAAACAGCAAAAATTAACATTAACATATCTAGAAAATAGCTCCTTTAAATCAGAAGAACAAAATCGATAATTATACTGGCAACTTAAAGTCTTTATTTAAATGTGTAGGTGTTCGAAATAGTATAAACACAATAAGTAGATAAAGCGAACACACATACCAACATTCTAAATTCATTACGCAACCTTAAAATGTCACCGTTCATAATTAAGGTGGATTATAAGTTGTCTGTTAAGTTGAGATTCAACTTAGTCAAGTCGTTTGTCACACTAATTGCAACTAATGAACGTTTTGCTTAATTGTAATTACACATCTTACAATTGAATAAATTGTTCAACTATTTAACAACCATTAGATGTGATGCGAAACGAATTTAATTAGTAATAATCGTGTAATGTAAAAGGTGTGAGAACAAAGGGGCCAGCTGAAAACCAGCGCAGGAATGGTCAAGTCCTCCCTGCACCAGCTGAGCTGGCCACCTTTTTTGCCACATCCTTAATTTATTTAATTTAATTTGTTTTTTTTTTTTAGTTTTTTTAGTTGTTTGTGGCAATAAATAAATATATACTATTCTATTCTAATTGTTAAATAACATTAAATTAAAATTAATTATTACGCTAAAAGTTGCTTTGCATTTTTTGCCTAATTTTCTAGTATCCAATGAAGCTTATAAATATTAATATGACCTCCTTAATCACAAAATTAAGTTACTTGTAATATTAGTTTGTTGTAATGATACGGTATGTTTCAGTTTTCTTTACATGTAAAAATCTTACCAATTAACTTACGTAGTCATTAATTTTTCTATTTTCTCAAACAATTCCACTCGACTTTTTCTGTGAAAATCAACGCTATCTTTATCCAAATGTTCTTTGTTAAGAAATTCCCTCTTCGACTGTTTCTCGTGCATTTTCATTCGGTCTATTTTGATTTTCAATTTTTCTCTGAACGTTACTTTGTCATCGACACTCCTTTTCGCGAACGCCGGGTTCACTATCAACGGCCTGTCAAATAAATCACAGTTAGAATTGTTTTTCAATCAGATTTTATGTATCTATATTTTTGTTGCGAGATTGCAAAAAATATGAATTTTTTAATATCCAGTTTCTGCTATTTTATTGGAGTACCATCAAAATTTAATTGCGAAGTAATCAACGATTATAGCTTTCCAATTATGACTTTACTAACTTTTGGTTTAAACATATAATTTCTGTCATTATCTTTGACAAAACAGAGATAACAGTATGTTTTAAACGAGGATATCGGTCTCAGAAACCCACGACAAGTAGCTTAGTTCTAGTAGCTAACACGTGTAGTTTTAATCCTCATCTCCTCGCATCTTACAAAAAGAAAATGTGGAGGAATGGAAGTCTTGTCTTAAATGATGTAGGGATGGATAATGAAAATATCTTTTTTTTTAAATTAGCACCGCCACTTACTTCCTAAAAGGTACTTTTGCTAAAACTTTCCCTTTATCATCTAAATAATATATATTTTTCTGTATATCCCCTCTCCTTTGCATTTCTTTGTCGTGTTCTTTGAATATGTGGAAAAGTTTGGGATCCGATGGAAGATTCCAGGCGAGTGCTGCCGTGTTACCATAGAGAAAAATATCTCCTATAGGTATCAGAGCCATTGTTTGCACGCAAAATACTGAAATCAAAAATAGACATATTTAAATTACAACAATTCATCGCATTATGCGTTTCGATAGTTGAACAACTTGTATAGTAATATTGCCATCCCTTTCTTTTTCTTTGTAAATACAGGGACACAAAATATCACAGCAATTGAATATCACGGTTATGAATATCCGAGGACGCATTAGAACGCATTCTCATGGGCGCTTTTTTAACTCCGCGTTAGAACGCGTCTAAATAGAGGTAACGCAGTTTTTAAAACGCGACGTTTTTTATCGCGCAGTCTTGCATTATCAGTACTGGGCAAAGGAAATAAACGTGATTTTAAAGCGTCCATCGCTTGTGAGCCGTAAACGTAGAGTTTCAACGCGACGTAAAAAAAAACGCCTGTGTGAATGAGAGCCAAGGTAACTTATACGTAATTAAAATTATATATTTATATATATTTAAAAGTAATTCAATCTTCCATCTCTTTTCCTAAATAATCCTGCTCTTCGTCTTCCTTTATATACATTTTGGGAAACGATTTATTTTACTTTAATACGGATATTACGAAAAGTGGTACTTTTTATTCTATCTTTTTATCTAACTACAGAAACTGGTATTCTAAAGACAATAAAATTCCTTCGAAAATATTTAGTTTAATCGTTTGTAAATTTTGTAGTATCTTCAATAAGAGAGTTCTCAGAGAAGATTGCGCTTCAAAGTTACTTCTACTTCAAAATAACTTACAAAACTGTTGACCAGATTTGCAATCTTTCTAGCATTTTTGTAATTTAGTAAGATATTAGTTACTGTTTACAAAGTTTTCAAATAAAAAAAAGAAATGTAACTAATGATTTTCTTTTAATTTATAAAAAAAAGGGTTAAACCACGAACCCACCTGATATTAAGTACTGGCCGAAAGATAGTATACGTTAGTTGCCTATCTTGGAATGTACAACGATATAAAGATTAAGAACTAGAAGGGACTAAGAATATCATAGGAATAAGAAATTCATTTACATCGATTTGCTTCTAGAGAAACTTTTTCAATGAAGTTGTAAAAGCTTGCAATCTTCAAAACACAAATTTCTTTGATATTGTGAATGCTTTATTTATTCAAATTAAAACGAAAATGATTTCTCGTCTTCGTTTCATTTTGTTTTGAATTTGACGTTAAATTTATAAATTTTCGTCAAACCGTGGTGATACCTTCTAACATACATCCACCTAAACATTTGCATTTATAATATTAGTAAGATTTCTTGCACTCTGATGAATACCTAAATTGATGAATAGCTGTAAATTAATTAACTTACCTAATTGAAACGAGCTGCCATCGGGGAACACAATGAACCTCTTAGTTCTAGACAGCAGCCGGGAACGTGTTTCATTTCCCTGTGAACTCTCCATAGCACAGTTTTCATTATCGCAAACTCCAGTATCACTCAGTGCTAATCCAAATAACGTAGTTATAACGAATAATCTGCAGTAACTAGTTATTTCCATGCTTTAATTTTATAATCTGTGTTATTAGAAAAGTAAACTTCGTATGACGCAAATGAGCGCCAATTCTAAATTCAAATATTTTTGTTCTTTTTTTTGAAAATCAAGTAATAAGTTGACAGTCACAAAACGCAAGTAGAACTGTCCCGTTCTTCAAACGTTTTCAACGCAAACGTGTATAAATAAACGAGCAATTAACATGTTTTGTGTCAACGATTTTACAGTTATTTTAGTTCTGAATCGGTTTTGAAAAAACAAAAAAGGTAATGTCCAAAAAAATCGTGTCAATCAAATTTAGACCATGCAATATTGTAGACATCAAAGCTTCAACACGCAAAGAAAGTAACGGTATCGAAAGTTGAGCTACATTCAATAATATATCTTTAATATGGTAAAATATAATATTTAAAAAAATATATAACGAATTAAAAAAAAAATATAAAATAAAACAACGTTTGACAAAATTAAGCAAAATTTATGTGGTTTTATCAATCATGATGTTATGAAGATAATATTGATGTGGCAGGAATTAATTAAATAATTAAATTAAAATCCAGAAACATGATGTATAGTATTGATTAAACCAAAAAACCTTTATCCTCTTATCAGTTGGGTATTATAAAGTTATTAAGTAGATATTAGAGTAAAAAAGACTTCTTATGTTTATGTAATTTTAATAAATAACATAACGAATTTTATCAAATTTTAAAAATAAAACAAATTTAAAATCCACAAACTATTTATTGACATCCAAAACCAACGAAAGAAATCAATAGAAAATATCTAATATAATAAAACAAATAACACATCGAATAAAAAAAATATTTTAGGAAATCAGAAAGAAGAAATTAGAATTTGCTGACGTACATCCAAAAACAAATTTTATTCAAGAGATAATATTAGTATGTATATATATATATATATATATATATATACATTACTCTAATTAATAATTAAATGTTGGTGAATCAATATTGGCCAAACGTTCGTTGCAATGCGGGTATAAATTATCACACGAGTCTGTCGATTTGGAAGCCATATCATATTCTTCTAAATATTCATCCGTCTTGTTTGACTGTGGCAACCTGCGGATAAAACGTGTGTGCATTTATGTCAAACATACGCTTTGCAGTGCTAGATTCACACAAAAGCGTTTCGTAATTGCCCCAGATATTCTAGGTGGGGCGCATTCAACGCGTGAACTGGGCTACTGCATCCATTGCTCTATGACTTGATTAAGACTCAAATATACATTATAGAGTTAATACACCTCGATTTCGTATTTGGCAAAAATAGACTGTGACGTATTGCGTTTTTTTTAAATTAAGCAAATTAAATAAAAAATAAGGCTTCTTTTTCTTACTGGTCACTATTCTATAAAAACAGGTAATAGATTGTAGAAGTAATTGACTTCTGATATTTATTAACAGCTAGCGATCAGTCTTTTTTTTGTATCGGGAGGAAATCTTCGTAAGATACCCTGCCTTTTGGGGGAAAGACGGGGTTATGTAAGATTCTTACTCACTAAAACCGCTTCGGTAGCCAACCTCAAACGCGAGAATCCCGGGATCTCTAAAGGAATGCACCGGAACCCTTTGCACTGGGCTTCTAACGACTCCAAGAAAATACTTCATCGTAATTAAAACACTGTCTAAGTTTCATATATTTGAACCATTAGAACCTTAAAGAACTAACAATATTAAAGAAGGTAGATAAACAAATATTGAAATACGTACGTAAATACAGCTCTCAATATTTCTTGTAAGAAGTCTCCCTGGGGATGGTTTCGTGACTGCGCGACTAGACACAATGTTTTCAATAAACATTGCGTTCCGTCTCCGCCCAAGCTAAAAGAACGACATGAGAAAACTATTTGCAGTCGACAAGTTCAATATTTTTACACTTAATTATACTGTGTTTTGTGAAACAATGTTAAGTATTGATACTATGTGACCCAACTCTACATTACAATGTAGTATTGCTCTTTTATTTTCACATCCTGTTTAAATTAATAACGCTCGAATGTGTCTGATGAGCGTCGGTGGCTTAGGGGTTGAGCACTTGACTTGAATACTACTAACATGTTTTTCAATTTTTAATTTACATGTAAACATTTATCCGACGTTCTTACAGTGAAGAAAACATCGTGATGCACCCTGCACAGTACACGAAGAAGCTCTAAGATATGTGTGAAGGTAATTCGCACTGGACCAGCGTGGTTGACTGAGGCATAGTCGCCCCTAACTTAGAAGGCTTCGAGCCCTTCAGACAAGACCTATAGGGAGCTGATGATACATTTTATATAAGTATGTGCTGCCTATATTTATAAAACTTCAAGAAAGTATTGTAATCTTACCCTTGTAACATTGTCTCTATTTTCTGGTAGAGTGCAGCACGTCCGCTCCTGTGAAATTCGATACTGGCCGCTTCCATCTGTTCGCTTTTCAAAAAGCCGCGTTCGTGTTGTGAAGCGTGCATTTCCCTCCTGTCTATTTTGAATACGTTTGCTCCATTTTGATGCGAATTCGAGTCCACGCTTCGCTTCGCAAACGCTGGATTCACTATGGGCCTCCT